GGTCTATACCCAGACCATCCATCCCAGCAACCTTTGTTAACTGGGACCAATCTGCATATTACATTTATCATACCTTGATTTCCAAATATCCCCTTCTATAGCCCACTACTTGACACAAAATAAGAAACACTTTTTTCTTAAATTGTCTGTACTTGGTCTGCATACAATAATACATGGATGAACATTTGGATTTTAATAAAAGAATTAATATTCAAATAATAACTCCACCTTCTTTCTTGAGGAGTGGGTGAATAGGTGAAGTCACATTTGTTCAACTGTCTGCATAAATCTTAGACCATTAACACAACCAAAGAGCAAACCATTGTTTATATTGGCAAAATCTATTCTACTTCATTATCTGAGTAAGACTAGATGCAACAAATAGACGGACAGGCTGCAAACTCAATCCAGCAAAAGCAAAATTTGAAGAGACTATTATATTCAACTTCAGTCACATCATTCCAAAATCCAAACCTGCGGTTTGCTCTTAAGAAGTTCATATGCATCCTCGGTCCTGAAAACATGGCTTGACGGCTACGTTATGTATAATGTGCATAAACAGCTGTATTCTGGAAAGAGTGAAGGGAATAAACCATATATACACATCTATCTTAAAATCAGAAAAAATATCCAAGCAATGGAAGATGATTGAGCCCACAACTAGCTTTGTTTTACACTGGTGCTTGTTCATGTAGACTTTCTCAAATCCCCACCCCCTTCGCTCCCCCCTTCAGCTTCACCCTTATATGTCTTAGGTAAATCACTTCTGCACAAAAAAACAAGATAACAAACCAACACTTCCATTGTCACCTTGATTAGATTTATGTGATGATGAAGAAATGGTTGGATTATTTTTAAAGTGCCACTAAAAGAGAAAAACATGGTATTTACATTCCACACTTTACTGACATAGTATTTACCCCCAAAAAACTTTAATGGCATAGCAATTTGCATTATCAAGCATTACGTTGTGATGGGATGTGGTGTAGGATACGGGCATTAAGGAGGATATTTTCAAAAATGGGGGTATGTGTGATCAACAAAATTTACGCTTTAAAGATGGACAATAACCAGCAAGAATTTTAGTATTTTAAATTCATAAATGCATGTAATAGCTCAGCTTTCTGATTTTATTCTTAACTCAAGCATTCTTCAGTGGTTTAGAATCATAAACCCTGCATAAAATGGCATCTCTCAAGGGACTGAATCAAGAAAATCTTCCTTGCGCAAAGGAAACAAACAATTTGCTAACATTCTTAGTTCTTATCAAGGAAGGATGCTTTTATAGTGTCCTTTTTTTCTTGTTTTATTGATATCTTCTAGTTGTAGCATTAGTTTCTTGATAATGATACAAGAAGGGCTGACACCAGAAGGGTTGACTACCCTCTGATTGGTTCTAAGAATGAACTCTCTTAAGTTTTAGGGTTTCCTTTAACAAGAAAAGACCGTTTAATTCTTTCTCCAGACCCGAACTGTTCATCGATTGCTGATAAGTATGCTTTCAGTCTGGGTCTAAAATCGTGTGTCTAGCGTCTTGTAGACTCACTCCATGATGCGGAGTAATAAAAATGATCAATTTTATCGCCATATTATTTGGAGAAATGGAGCCGGAACAATAAAAATCTTGTCCAAGTGAGCATTGTCTGCACATTGTTTTCAATTTCTCCAACATCCTTCTCTGTTATTCTTCTTTGTGATATCCTAGAATCTAAAAACAGTATCATCATTGCTAGAAAATGAATGCAGTCATCACGAATTCAATGTGATAGCAAATTCAATGTGGTAAGTGGTCTCATTAAACATTATACCTCAATACTTCATCAATAAAAAGAGAAAGAAACATAATTTTGTAAAGGATATATCATTTGCATTACAAAAACATAATGCCAGAAATTAAACTACCATCACTAGACATTGACCCCAATTGCATTTCTATGCAGACACAAATTAATTGTCATGTGCTAGTTATGCTAATGAGAATAAGCAGCATGGATCATAGATAATCAAGCTTAAGGTTAGAATACAAGAACAATTATTGCTAATTTGAACAAGTCGAAATACAGTCATGCAAAAACACACACTGAGACACAATTATACAGACCTACAATGAGAGTTGGCATTGTATTTATTACACTCACCATCAATCAAAAAATCAACTGAAATTAGCTCCAATTGTAATCTTTCCCACACAATATAGTCATGTGGGTTGTGAGCAACAGCCGAGCAATACCCAGATTTGGTATACAATCAATCTTTATTTATAAGGAAAATTGTTTACCAATGCTGGGGAACACAATCCACACGATATCAAAAAAATAACACACACACACACAGAGCATAATTTAGAGTAACATAACTACGAACCATTCTAATATGTAGGGAAAATAAACAAACATACCTATCAACCAAGGCCACCTTACAGGCTTATCAGGAGCTTCCTTAGTCAAGGGCCTAAACCTCTCAGGCATGGTACTCTGCCCACGAGCTTCTTCTTCAGCTTTATCAACAATACCCTTTTCCTGTCCGCCCCCATTTTCTGCTTTCACAACAAACCCAATATTTCTACCAAAAGTTAGCCCAAATTTCTCCAAAGAAGACCCAAGAAAACCATGGGTTTGTACGATGTTCACTGATTGTCCTCTGGCCGGAGAAGACCGAAATGGGATTGGTTGATTATGGGTACGAATGAAGAAAGGAGTAGGAGTATGTAAAGAGAGCTTAAAGGGAAAGCGAGGGGGTTTGAGAGATGGGTTTGGAGAGAGGAGAGATGAAACTGACATCATCATAGCTATTGGATTTAGAGGTTAGAGAGGTTTAGCCATTGCAAGTAAACATGCAATGGAAGAGGAAGCGAGTGTGTTATGCAGATATTGGGGTTTGGAAATTCTCAAAATTAGCTCATGGTCCGACAAGACGACAAGTGCTGAACAGAGTCCGACCCGTACGGGATTTAAAATAATTAAGGGGTAACTACAAAACGCCCCTTTCAAATTTGGGTCATGTTATAATTAACTCCCTCTAGTTTGAATTGAACCAATTACCCCCTCAAAGTTTGAAAGGGATGGGGAGAGTAATACAAGAGGAAAAAAAAATTCCAATCAAGGGCAATTTTAGGCCTTTCAATGAATCTGAGATCACGTGACTCGTACGTGACTAATTTCTGTTAGTTGTGACTGTTGAAATTAATTACATGAGCTAATTGTAAACTTTTCAAACTTTGAGGGGATAATTTGTTCAAATTAAAATCAAAGGGATTTAATTGTAATATGACACAAATTTGAAGGGGACATTTTATAATTACCCCAAAAATTAAATCTTAGGAAAAAAACCAGAAAGACAAAAAAAGTCCTGATAATTTTTTGACTAAGAATATTTTATTAATCAACGATTCTAAGCAATGAGTAACTAATAGAATGGGTTGTTATTATTTATTTTTTGTTTTTTAAATTATTGGATCTATTAAAAAATTATTTATCTTTCATGAATTAATCATACGATATATAGTCTAATACTCGGCAAGACAATGACTTCTACTATGTCACCAACCTTATGGTTGTGTAACCAATGGGTTTAGTCACCACGGAATTCACCATCATATTGCATCAGTGCAACAATTCACAGTCGAAAAATAAAATCTTTGTAAATAGTACCTTAAAAATCCACTGCTAAAAAAATTACAAATTCAGGGAGAGTTTTTTTTTTCTTTAATAAATCCAGGAAGAGAGAGGTTATAGCTTAGGTTTTGTAGGAAAATCTTAGTATTTGGGGTCACTTCAGACAGGGAATTCTTCTATTTTTATCAACTTGTTTTACTACAAAAGTTGCATTAGGACAAGAAGATTGCGAGGAGCTTAAGAAGCTCATTCGTATTGTACCCAACTACCCATCAAAAAAAAAAAGCTTATTGGATATTCTTAAATCCTGGTGAATACACAGGCATACTGTATTGCTTTGTATTTAAGTACAACACATGTTACAGTACAATGAAATCGACACATTACATTAGAGGCATCTGCAACATTGATAAAAACTACCCAGTATCTTTTTTCCGATATTTGATTTCCGAATAAGCTCAATCATCCCAGGGGGTCCAAGGCTTCTTGTGAAGCTGAGCGAAATAGGAACAAGAGATTGCTTATACCAGAATATGACAAGTTCCATGTTGTTCTTACTCTTCTCATTTCTTCATCTCCTATAATCAGCCATGACATAAGATGATTTTGAATGTGCACAACAATGGCTTCCCTCTTTACCAAGTGGCTTCCATGCATATAGTAGCATCACAGATATGTCTTCTATCTCATGCCAGAACAAGGCCATTTATCACTTGCATCTTCAACCTACGGCTTCATGCCCACTCCTTCCTTTTATATTAGGCATAAGCAGACAGCGTATAGGATATGCCCACCCCCTTACTGTTGGCATGCATATCCAGACTTTCATGAAGCATAAGAGGACATTGTATGGTTTAAACATATCTGTAAACAGGCACTGCTTCACATCGTACACCAATGTAAAGACAAACTCCTGATCTCGTTAGATGAATTTTTCTATCAAAATGAAATGAAATAATTTAGCAAAAGATCGTCGAATTCGAATTAGACACATTAATGAACAGAAGCTTTGGTAGAATTTGCATTAAGGTGCACATGAAGCCTCTCATTGAACCCTGGGCTGATGGTGCAAATACAAGTCTTTCCTCGGCCATTACATAAATTGCGTATGCACTCAAATCCTCAACACTCCAGAACCAAAATCATAAATAGCAGATCAGTGAGTCCTAAGCCAGAAATTGACAGCCTATATGATTCCTTCACGTTGAAAGGCTCAAAATGGCTAAATGAGACTGTTTTGCTGATAGTCACCTTCTCCTCTATGTCCATGGCTGTCACTAGCTACTCAATCATTCCAACCAATTTTCACAATGTTTATGTATTGACCATCTTATACGGCAAACAATACAGATGGTTGGGATGCTTCTGTAAATTTTATGTTCAGTATCAGTCTTGATATATCACCCAGCTACTTCCAGGGGCTACCTTGACTCCTCTCTCCTCCATTTCTCTTCTCATTCTCTGAGCTTCCTCATGTCGCCCTGCAGTAGCATAAATTCTTGCCAACAATACATAATTGGCAGGATTATTGGGCTCTACTTCAAACAAAGCTCTCCCTGCAATCTCCGCAAGGTCCACCTCTCCATATGTTCGACAAGCCCCAAGAAGTGCTCCCCAAGCTTTTGCTGTCACCTTCACCGGCATTTCTTTTATGACCTCATATGCCTCGTATAATCTCCCTGCTCTACTCAAAACATCCACTAAGCACGAATAGTGATCACTACTCGCCTCCACATCATAATGGTTATGCATTCGAGCAAAGTACATCCGTGCTTCATCAGCCAGTCCAGCATGACTACAAGCTTTCAAGACTGCAATAAATGTGATCCCATCAGGCTTTATATTAGCCTTCTCCATTTGTGTAAAAATATCAAGCGCAGTTCTTGCCTCCCCGTGGAGCGCATATGCCGATATCAAGCTACTCCATGCCACCACATCCCTTTCACTCATGCTTTGAAACACATACCTTGCATTACCAAGACACCCACATCGCCCATAAGCTTCCACAAGTCCACTCCTCAACTGCGGGTGTGGATCAATATCATTCCTAATGGAATACCCATGAATTTCTTTGATAAAATTCAATGATGCTATTCCTACACAAGCTGGTAATAAAGCAAGAATCGTAATCAAATTTGGTTTCAACCCAAACTCTAGCATTCCTTTACAAAAATCAATGGCCTTAAAGCCTCCGTCCTCTGCCTCTGAGAAACCTGCTATAATTGAATTAAAAGTAGATTCATTAGGCAAAACATCCATAACTTCAAACAACTCTAAAGCCTTGGGCACATTCTTAGAATGGGTGTATAGCGAAATCATTGCATTCCAAACCACATCATTTCTTTGAGGAATTTCATCAAACAATTGGCGTGCTGAGAGAATTGAGATACATTTGCCATACATGTCAACTAGAGCACACGCCACAAACGAGTTTGACAATAGACCTGCCTTGTGTGTATGCGCGTGAATGGATGTGCCAAGTTGTGGGCTGTTGAGGGNCTGAAACACATACCTTGCATTAGCAAGACACCCACATCGCCCATAAGCTTCAACAAGTCCACTCCTCAACTGCGGGTGTGGATCAATATCATTCCTACTGGAATACCCATGAATTTCTTTGATAAAATTCAATGATGCTATTCCTACACAAGCTGGTAATAAAGCAAGAATCGTAATCAAATTTGGTTTCAACCCAAACTCTAGCATTCCTTTACAAAAATCAATGGCCTTAAAGCCTCCGTCCTCTGCCTCTGAGAAACCTGCTATAATTGAATTAAAAGTAGATTCATTAGGCAAAACATCCATAACTTCAAACAACTCTAAAGCCTTGGGCACATTCTTAGAATGGGTGTATAGCGAAATCATTGCATTCCAAACCACATCATTTCTTTGAGGAATTTCATCAAACAATTGGCGTGCTGAGAGAATTGAGATACATTTGCCATACATGTCAACTAGAGCACACGCCACAAACGAGTTTGACAATAGACCTGCCTTGTGTGTATGCGCGTGAATGGATGTGCCAAGTTGTGGGCTGTTGAGGGCTGCACAGGACTTGAGAGCAAGAGGGAAAACAAAGGGGTCAAGAGAAAGAGAAGAGTGGATGTGGTGGAAGAGAGAGAGGGCTTGTTCGTGTCGGCCTTGGTTGACGTGAGAGGTCAAGAGCTTAGTGTAAGAAAGCAAGCGAAGGTAGTTTGAAGTGTAGGAAGTCATGGTTGGTTTGGCAGTTGGGATTGGTGGATCATTTGGAAGAAAATGAAAAATTAGATCGTCATGGTGTCAATTGGTACATGACCACGGTTGTATATTAGGGACCATGACTACGTTTGTTTGAAGGATAACGGTGGTATAAGGCGGTGAAATAAGAAAAAATAGTACGTAAGACCTAGTAATATTTTGATTGTTTGTTTTATTTTTTGTGTGATACTACTTTTTGAATTGTAATAACGACTCGCTCGATACAGCCACCAAAATCTATGTACATGGATTTATATAATACCATCTAGAATGTGATATTATTTTTTGAGTTTTGGCCACCAACAGTATTAAGAAGGTTAATGATTGAATTACCCTTCAGCCTTTTAATGTTAGTATGAGATTTGGCTACCAACGGTTGTTTTTTTTTCTTTTTTAATTTTTGATTTTGAATTTTTTCATTGTATTATATTTAAGCGTATGATATCACCTTTTTTTTTATTTTAATTTATATTTTATATTTTGTTTGGTGTCACTGATTTTTTTTTAATTAAAAAAGATATTTTGAATGTTTTTTATATCTATATCTATCTATATAATAATTTAGTTTACAATTCAAATTTCAAAAGATAAATAAAATGACTTTTGCTTTTCGCGGTTCAGATCTCTTTAAATTTTATTTTAAAGTTAATCTAACAGCTAATATTAACACTCTAAATTTAATAGAAAAAATTGGCCCCTAAGAGTGTGTTTGGAGTGACTTATTAAAAATACACATACAAATTATTTTTCATAAGTATTTTTAAAAAAAATAGTGTTTGAAACTGCCCCACCACTACCTCTACCACCCCCACCGCCGCCTCCACCATCGGCGCCGACACCACCATTGTTGCCACCACCACCACTACCGTCGCCGCCACCACCGTTGTCGTCGCCACCATAGCCATTGCTACCCACCACAATCATTACCTTCTCCTATTACCACCTCTTACCCCTATTACAACCGATGGTTAAATTCATTAATCTCTCATCTATGTTTGTGATTTGATTTTGGATATGAATTCAAATATGTTTATTGTTTATCATTTTTTATTACTCTGTGCCTTCAGGCATAGACAATAACTAGTACTACTTATAAATGTCAGCATGCGTGAAAAACTTTTGATTTTCTATTTCACCCTTAATTATTATTATAAAGCCAATTATACCCACATATTTTCCTGTCTTTCATACTTACTTGACTTCCAAAATATTAGCTAGATAAACTTTATCTCTATGACTTGGTAGATAAACTTTATCAAAATATTAGCTAAATAACCTATGACTTGATAGATAAACTTTATCCCTATGACAATACATTCTTTATTTTTCATTCAATTATACAAACTCTACTAGAATTCTAATACCGTATATTGGTAATTTTTAGGTGATACATATACATATATTTTTTTGTCTTTCCTACTTATTAGATTTCTAAAATATTTTGAATTCCTTTATATATATATATATATACTAGAATTCTAATAGCACATATTAGTAATTTTTAGGTGATACATATACATATATTTTTTTGTCTTTCCTACTTATTAGACTTGTAAAATATTTTGAATATATATATATATATATATATATGAAGGAATAACTAGATAGGATTCTAATATCACATAGGATCAAACTTTCCAACAAAGTTATCAAATAAGTTTTTTCTTCCATTCACGTTAGAGCCAGAAGTTGGTCTGCCATAGTCATTTATTTGAAGTCCTATGGTCTCATACTCTTCTGTGACAAACTCAATGAAGTCGAAGTTAGAGTTTTCGGCATAATTGAGGTTAGTTTATTAATTTTTTTTGTTTTAGTTTATTAATTCCTATATTTACGGTAATTCCTATGTTCTGTGGTACTTAATTTTTCTTAATTTAATGTCAAGTAGCTTTCTAAGAGATTAGTGTGGCAGGTCAAGTATTCGGCATAATAATTGAGGTTAGTTTATTAATTATTATCTTTTAGTTTATTAAATTGGTGTGGTAGGTCGAGTATTCGACATAATTGAGGTTAGTGTATTAATTCCTATGTTTTAGTTTTTTTAATTCATATGTTTACGTTAAAATTTTCTATGTCAGTGTTTCTTTGTTTTATTACAACCTCTCGTGAATTCAATTTTTCATTGCTCATATATCTAATATTTTGAAATCTTGTTCAAATCTCCTATAATATTGACCTAATTATTCTTAAATTTTGAATTGATGGTAAAGTTCAACATTTATTGAGACCAACAATCAATCCAATAATAAATAAATTAAATCCAAATAAAAACTAAAATGGAGGAAAAACAGCTTTAAAGTCAAAAGCATGACTTGTTAATAAACAAGATGCCACATAGAAACTATGTAGACATTTATTGAGATCAACAATCAATCCAATAATAAATTAATTAAATCCAAATAAAACCTAAAATAGAGAAAAAATAGCTTGAAAGTCAAAAGCATGACCCGTTAATAAAGAAGGTGCCACATAGAAATTATACAGAAACTACTTATGATATGATTTGCTTCTTTTTTTTCTCTTCAATCATTTACATAGAAATCTTCTGAAAATTATATTAACAAGTCTAGAAGAATTGTCACGCCCCATCCCGGTCTCCCAAGGATGAGATGCAACTAAGTTTTTAATACACCTGTGTTACAATTATTATAAGCTGGACTAATCAAACATGATATAATCCCACAGGTGCAACAACACCACTTATCACCTTAGTTATTAAGCATGATGGTAAAATCTGCCTCATAACCTATATCATATATAAAACACTTGTACCAATCATTTGTTTCTCAGGTTATAAACACATACAAAATTCCACACTCACATAGCATACATCACAAAGTATGCTAGTTGAGTCTATTTACAAATATATACTATTGACCTGTCATAATAATCTCTCACAAATATAATACACAACCCAAAAATTAGTCATATTGACACTCAACTTGTGTGATATCACACTAACGTTGTACAAGACTCAATCAACTGGACAGTGGACTGCTCTGTATCCTTCTTTATAGTACCTGAAAAGAAAAAGTTGTAGGATTGTGAGTTAAATCACGCGCTCAGTAAGTATACATGTTGTATATGAAATAGAAATGATAGTAATACACAGAAATAGGTAGATACTACGTAGATACATGTATCAAACAACAACATCAATCCAATTTCAAAGAATTTACAAGCCACATCACATTCATACTACCCCTCATCGGGTAATCGATCCTACATGGATCCGTGTCTCCCGAACCTCTCAGGAACACTATAGTGCTAGCACACTACTGCACGTCCAGTGATCAGACATCGATGCCCCTGTCTCAAAAATTGCGTCACATTTCACAATATACAATAAACAATACAAAGCATCATCCAATCACATAAACACGTAGCACATAATCTTGGAGAATTGCTATTAAATTATATCATTTACTATTATCTTATAATAACATTTTTAAAACATATAAAGATATACATCCACCTCAATGTACAAATTTATGGCCATTCGGTCTTATCGATTGATCCTTTCGATGTCACCGTATTTGTTTCAATAAGGAACGTCTCACTCATTCTATCTAACATATTTGTAATTAAATTATCAATATATTTATTACATTTAATAGTTAATTATGCATTAATGCATACAAATGATGCACCTTAAAGTGCCCTGGTAACCCCGATTACCGCAATATCTATTCACACATTAGCACTTTTGTTCTAGGGATCACATTTTCTTCCCAGATTTCTAAAATCACTCACATTAATCACAATTAGGATTAAGTAGGTTAAACACATTGACCGGGAGCCCATTTTCACACATTTCGACCCCAAATCCTAAAAACTGCACTTTCGATATTTCATACATTTTGCACTGAATATTATACTCATTTGCATTCGAAAGTCACATTATCACATCAACCATCACTTAAAAAAGCTGCATGCAAAATTTCAGGTCATTTGAATTAAAATTCGCACATGTGAAAATAATATTTAAAAATCAGGATTTCGGCGTATCAGTGTCCATTTCCAATTTATGTTATACTTTTCTTTTAAAACAATTATACTTAAACTCACACATTCACTAAATCAGCCCCCTAATTGTATTTTTAAATCATCCATTTCACTCCCATAATTTCGGTTCCAACCTAGCCCTCAAAAATATACCGAACATCTCAAATAACTATTTTTCACATTTTTCTCATCTTTATTTTAATACCCATTTGAAACATATCTTTAACAGTCTGTTAATTATATTAAATATATTTAATTACACCCATACCAAATCTGTTTTGACATTAACTAAATCAGCCCACGAAATTTGAATTAAAACAGCTCATGTATTTAAATTAAAACAACCTACTAATTAAAATATGTTAAAGCAGCCCACACATATACAAATACGTATATATTAAAATTAATCACAACTCAAAACTTAAATCCATATAACTTCCTTGCTCATAGACATACACACATTTTTTTTCTTGATATCTTCTCTCTTTCTTTTTTTTTCCCCTTTTTCTCTCTTGCTCTCCTCACTCTCAGCTTTTGTCAGACAACCAGACAAACACACACATTTGTTTATATCTTAAACACACACACACACACACACACACCTTTTATATTTTACTTAACACACACACTTTTCACCTTTAAACACACACTCACACACACACGGCACACCTTTTTTTTTTTAAAAGCTAACACATGTGAAGGTGAGTCATTCAATTGAACAATTATGCTTATCTCGCCTCAAGTTTTAAAATAATTTTGAAATTGACCCACTAGTATTTTCATACACGAAATTTCTATAAATGGATCTCACTAATATATCACTAACGGGGTCCACATACCCAATGTATGCCCACTCACATCATGCTTATGAAAAATTTAATTTAATTAACCCCTTTAATAATTTTACATAATTATAATTTAGCCTATAAAATTATATTAATATGCATGCAATGTGTGATTGGGTCTCACAA